AACTGTTTTTACCAATAGATAGATAGATAGATTTCTTTATTCGATCAATATGTTTACAATTACAATTACAAATTGGTAGAGAACATTTTACCCAGAGGGTGTTGATCATGTCATTATTTACAATACACAATAAAAAAAAAATTGTACTTAAATCTTAAAAAACATTTAGTACAAAAAAAAAATAAACACATACATCTAAGATAAAAAAAAAAAATTTAAGTAAAAAAACAAACAAGTACACCTCACGAACAAATAATTAGAGTCTGGTCATTCCGACCACTTCCAGGGTCAGCACAGGGAGTGCTATGTTTATCTAGGCAATTAGTAAAATTTTATGCTTTGCTAGAAAGAAAACAATTTAAAAAAAAAATCTAACTCAAATCTTTCACTTCTTGATCAGTAAAAAAATCGTTCAGACTGTAATAGGCTTTTGAGCTCAGAAATGTTTTAATTTTGCAGTTGATAACTCTTGATGGTAGCATACGGAGTGAGGGAGGCAAAACATTCCAGACTTTGAGAATGTTGTGTTTAACATTTTTAAGAATGTATGTAAAGTGAGCAGTTTCAGTTCTAAGATTGTCTTTGAATCTAGTACCATGACAATGATTAGATTTTAGTTTGTCAAAGATATCTGGATTTTCTGATATAAATTTGATACTCTCTGTAATGTACAAGTTAAAAATTGTCGGAAAGTTATTATCAACAAAGAGATTTTTACAGCTGTCTGTATTTTTTTTCTGGAATATTGTTCTCAGGCATCTTTTCTGAAGCAGGAGAACTCTCTCTGCCTCCGCCACTCCGCCCCAGAAGATCACCCCATACCTCACTCTCGCTTGCACATAGGCATGGCAAGCTGTCAGTGCAGCCGAGCACCCTGCCATGTCCCTGACCACTCGCAGTGCATAGCAGTACCTACTCATACTCTTTGCTAGTTGGTCGATGTGAGCATGCCAGTCTAGTCTTTCATCCAGCACCATCCCCAGAAATGTCACATTATCTTTAGTTGATAGTGTAGTGCCATTGTAGTCTATGTTTGTCTTGTCAGGTCTTAAGTTAAAATTTATAATTTGGGTCTTTTCTACATTCAGTTGAAGGTTATTATCAGTGAACCAATTTTGAAGTATCAAAAGTGATTCTTGGACATTTTGTTTGCAAGCCTCTTTGGTTTTTTCGCAGCAGATGACTGTAGTGTCATCAGCAAAGAGTACGACCTCATTATTTAGGATGTCAGCAACCTCATTGGTGTAAATTAGGTAAAGTAAAGGGCCGAGAATCGAACCCTGGGGAACGCCTTTTTTGATTGTTGAAAAATTTGATTTTATTGTCTCACCCTGCTTGTTTTGTGCAACAACACATTGTTTTCGGTTAGATAAGTATGATACTATTAATTTTAGTGCAGTGTTGCATATGCCAATTTTCTCAAGCTTTCGGCAAAGCAGTCCGTGGTCCACACTGTCGAAAGCTTTAGAAAGGTCTAGGCAAACTGCCATGGTGATGTTGTTTTGGTTGCGAGACTCCAGGATCTGATCTAAAGCCATGTAGATAGCCCTTATCGTCGATTTGCCTTTCCTGAAACCATTTTGTTTTTCAGTGAGTAATGCATTTTCCTCAAGAAATTTTAAAAGTTTAGCATATATTGCTTTTTCAAAAATTTTGCTAAAGTTTGACAGTAGAGAAATAGGCCTATAATTTTTTAGCTCATTTAGGTCTCCTTTTTTGTGAATCGGCTTTAATAAAGCGGTTTTTAGATTAGATGGAAAAATACCTTGTTGCATAGATAGATTAATGATGTACACTAACGGCTCACATAGAAAATCAGCTGCTGCTTTAATTATAGAAATTGGGACTTCATCGTACCCTGTTGATTTTTTGTTTTTAAGATTTTTAATAATTGTAATTACCTCCCGAGTTGATACTGGCTGAAAGACCATGCCGGCCATAGGCATGGGGGTATTGTTCGAGAGCATGAGCTGGCTACTCATTCGCGCCACATCCGGACACACATTTAAGAAAAAATCATTGACATCGTTAAGGAACTGCAACTCACTTTGATAATTAAAATGTTCAAAAATTGTTCTATTGCTGTTTAAATTTTTCCCCGTTACCTTTTTAATAAGACTCCAAGTTGCCTTGGTTTTATTGTCTGAATTTTGAATATAATTTTCATTACTTGCTCTTTTTGCCTGTCATATAACTTGTTTTAGAATATTAGAGTAATTCTTGTAGTATTGTTTAGAAATATCCCCTTTTTTTACCTTTTCAAATAATAGTCTTTTGTTCTTACTGGATGTTTTTATACCAGTTGTGATCCACCACTGAGAAGGACTGGCCTTTTGTTTTCTTTTCCTGATAGGAAATATGCGATTTATTTTTTCTGCTAATGTTAGTTCAAAGTGAGAAAAGGCAGTATCAACTTCAGTCTCTGAAAAAACTGTGTCCCAGTTACATTCACTGAGTTCTTCACAAAATCTAATTATATTGTTTTCTGAGAAGACTCTACCTATTTTAAGTTTATTTTGGTGTTCGTTTATAGTTGGTTCTATTGTAATGGTTTGTGAATAATGATCACTTATCACAGTCTTGATGACTCTATTGTTATTAAATTCCGTGAAATTTGGGAATAAAACTGTTCACACTTGATAAATAATATAAAATAATGAACACCCATCTACTTTCTGAACTGAACTAAACAAAACTGCAACCGTTTCTCTGATGTAAAACGACAGAAAATAAAAACTTGACAGCAGCTAATTTTTGTCTGGTTTAGTGTGAACAGTTTTATCGTTAAAAACAGTTGAGTTTTTGTTTTTTAAAACCGCAACAAAGCAGCAACTCAACTAGTCGGTTTGGTTTAAAACCGCCATTATAAACGTAGTCAATGTGTGATTTAAAACTCAATTCACTAAAAATAATAAGTCCCACAAACTTAGTCTCAGGTCAACATTTGATAGAAACATTGTCGACGTTGGTGAGTCCTAGATCGCATCCAGATGACAAAAAAATATTTGTTTTAGTTAAATTTAGCCTCAGAAGATTAGAATCACACCAAGATTTGAGCTGCTGAAGATCTGTGAGAATAGCTTGTTTTAGACTCTGATGGTCAGCACAGTGCCATGAAATGTGGTGTTGTCTGCGAACAATGTAAATTTCCCGGTAATATTTAGTGACGCAAGGTCATTTACAAAAATTAGAAATAGTGCAGTACCGACCTCTGAGGTACACCCCAATTATTTTCCAAAGTTACTGATTGAGAAGATCTGATGTAAACCCTCTCATGATGATCAGACAAATAGGATTGAAACCATGTGATTTCTACTCATCTAAAGCCATAATGCGAGAGTTTCTGCAACAGTTACCCCACCATAAATTCACTAGGTGCTTTCAAACAAAATTGTTTGCAATTTGGACTTTCCATCATTACTTGTTAGTTATTTTTAATACTATTTTTGTTAAGTTTGGACATTATGGGCTTAAATATAAGTCCAAATTGAAGAGAACTTAGAATATTGTTTTATTCAAAAATGAGATCACTCTACTTTTGACCAGGCTTTTCTACAATTTTGGATAGATTAGTCAAAATTTTGATAAATAGAATTTTCAACCATCCCCTACCCTACCCATTTCAAAACTAATTTGAGGCAGGATTTTAGCTAGGTATCCTTTTATTGAGTTTTCCGATTTTCTTCATCCTCTACTGATTCCAGAACCAATAGTTGAAGGTATTATTCTACAACACTTTTGGACAAATGACCCCAGAATATCACTCCGTATCTTAATCTGGACTGAACATATGCATATAGCAGCCTCAACACTCACATTATCAGACATAACACGCAGAGCATAATAATACCTGGATATACTCTCTACTAAAAATTCAATGTGGGCCTCTCAATCTAATCTCTAATCAGCTTGCACACACAAAAAACACATACTCTCTAATGACTAGCTCTTCACCTAGATTGTAAGTGCAGCCAAATTTTCAATTCTGTTTTCAAAAATGAGGGTCTCTGTTTTTTACACATTGTGAATTGTGATAGTCTATTTTTTTTTTAGGAGATTTCAGCCTTTCTAAGGTTACAGATACCACACAGAATTATAAATAATTTGTTGAGTGAATACTGGTAATACTTTGCATCTTGTATTACCTGACATTGAACATTGGTCATGGATTGAGAATGTCTTAGTTAGTATCAATAATAATCATCCTCCATTAAAAATTGAGTTTTCTGTTAAAGTTATGAGGAACATTCCTGGGAAAGATCCTAATATCTCCGAAAATATCAAGTGGGCATTTCTATAAACTGCATCATTAGGTCTGTTTCTGCAGAAATCACAAACCAGTCAAGAGCGAATTTCATTGGTTGAAAACAGTCAGAAAACTAGTTTCAACCAATGAAATTCACTCTAACTGGTTTGTGATTTCTGCAGAAACAGACCACAGACCTATTGATTTGCACAACAAAACTGCATTGCATTGAGGCTTTTTACAATATCTTAAATAATATTTTTCAGCAGTGCATACCAAAAATAAAGGTTAAGTTGCTGAATAATAAATTCCCCATGTGGTTTTCCAAGGATCTGATTTTAGATAAAAAATCAAAGAAAAAATGTATTTCCTCAGAATGTCTAAATCCAATTGGGACAAGTAGGTACTGTTACTTCAGAACAGAGACTAAACGACGAGTCAATAAAAATGACAAATCAATAATTGTTATAATAAATAGCTGAGGGAGATAGAGGGTTAGATTTTCATACACTAGTAATTTTTGGAACTTTGTGAAAAGTGAAATAAAAGCTTGGGAGCATAAAATTAGGTAATGAAAAATCTCCAGTTCCTTTTGGAGAGGAGAATGATGCCCTCTCAAAGATATTACTTTTAAATTTTTATTCTTTTGAACAGCTGTTGTAGCCAAGAGCTGAAGAGTGACATAACCTTCAAACACATAAACATTGAAACCCAAAATTGGAAAATAATAAATGTACTCACAAAATCGACTTACCTTTCCGCCGGGAAATTTTTGTTGAAACTCTTTAGTTTTGTTGGTTTCCCCAAACACAAAATTCTGGGCAACTTTTACGTCGGCCTTCGAGTATTGAGCGGCGATCAACGCCTTGGCCGCTCGAAAATTGTCGGGGTAGGTGTATAGAGTCTGCAAAAATATTAATTAAAATCAACATTAGGGTCCTTAATTTATACATTTTGGAGTGTTTTACTCAATGATTGTGCCTGAAATCATGGATATTTATCGAATTTAATTTGGAAAACTTACTCCGGCAGCCATTTTTTAGCAGTTCTATACTTAGAAGAACGAAATTCAGGCAACCAACATTACAAGTAATGTTAGTTGTCAGTATTTGAAGGTATTTGACGTGTTTTGAAGTTACTTCTAGGCAGCCAATTAGACAGATACAGTGACTCAATAAACCTCAGGCTGAAAAACGCCGATTTTTTTTCAACGAAATTCAGATTCGCAATTCGTGATTCGCATCTATATGAACTACGCTTATGGATGCGGATACGGATACGTAGAAAAATTTAGGGTTGAAGTGTCTGCTTCGTTCTCAGCTGCGCGAAATTCGCTCTTTTTTTGACATTGCTTCGACAATTTGAGGTTTTATCCGCGCGAAATTCGCTCTTTTTTTGACATTGCTTCGACAATTTTACGTTTTAATGCGTGTATCAAACGTCAAATTATTCGAAGCAATGTCAAAAAAGAGCGAATTTCGCGCAAGTAAAAGCAGCTGCCGGATTCTATTTTACGAGTCGAGTCGAAATTCGTATCCAATTGTCAAAATAGCGATTCTATTTTCCGATTTATCAATAGGTCTGTTTCTGCAGAAATCACAAACCAGTCAGAGCAAATTTCATATACACGAATCGACACACGACTTAATTGACTTCGAGACGCATAACTCGATACCGGCCCTGTCACCTCGTTGCAATGAATTATATACTACACGTAACTGGAACTCAAGGATGATACACACCATTATTACTAGTATTACTACAGGATGGCCAATCCTCAGGCCTGTGTGTAACAAATTCCCCCCTTCTCCCCCAAGCATAATCACCAGCTGTGACGTAAGCATTATGTTATTTCTCGCCTTGACGTAGGCTGTTTAAACAGCTGGGCTGGAACTCTGTAACGGATAGAGATCGTTATCCCTATCGCTATAGCACTTGCTATATTCTTCTCTCTTCTCGAAATCAATAGGGAGGGGACGCCAATAGAGATAGAAAAATATTCTCTTCGTTACAGAGTCCCAGCCTGACGACTTAGTTATGACGTCGGAAATGGTGACACACCAATATGGCGGCGATTACCAAAAACCTTTGAAAAACGAGGCCAATAAGCAATCCTGTAGGTGTGACTGGAACGCTTAGACTGGAACGGACCTTTTGTTTTGGTTCGAAATTTGCAACATTTCTGGGATTGCGCAGAACTGCTTGCGTACAAAAAATAATGGAGGACTATGGTGATACATTCTGAACCGATGCGGAACCAAAAAAACCAAAACAAGCCGCTTATCCGCTCAGTTCCACCTTCAGAGCAAGCACTGAGAGAACCGTTCTAGAACAATCCCAGAATTGTTCCATAGTTCTATAATGGCCGTTTGCACCGACCATTTTGAAAAAGCTGCCCCCGGATTCTATTTAACGAGTCGAGTCGAATTGTCTCGAAATCGAATACGACAGCTCCGGATTTACCGTGTAATAGGTAAAATCTGTTTTTTTTTTTTAAGATAATTCCCCAAGTCAAAAATTTAGTAACTATGTTGGCAACACAAGCCTTTTCTACATGAAAAATTTGATAGCATTGACAATTTTACATTGTATTGCCAACCTAATGTCAGTTTGACTTTTATCTTTAAAAAAAAAAACGCACTTTAATTATAGTCTGGCTAGCGAAACGGCGAACTGCAAAAGAATTTGAGTCTGAACGACAGCAGGCAGTGGCGTGGTTATTAACGAAACTAAAGAATTTTTTTTTCTAATAATTTTATTGGTGTTTCCGGTGCCACTGAACCGAAAGACATGGCTGTCATCAGGTGGTGTCAGTTCAGGTGTCAGTTGAGGTGTCAGTGAATATTTTTAGGTCACGCCCCACTTTTCTTCCCCCTTTCGTCTCTACCAAGTTACCACTTGCCAGACTATAGGTCTGTTTCTGCAGAAATCACAAACCAGTCAGAGCAAATTTCATTGGTTGAGAACAGTTAGAAACAGTCAGAAAACTAGTTTCAACCAATGAAATTAACCCTGACTGGTTTGTGATTTCTGCAGAAACAGACCTATAGTCTGGCAAGTGGTAACTTGGTAGAGACGAAAGGGGGAAGAAAAGTGGGGCGTGACCTAAAAATATTCACTGACACCTCAACTGACACCTGAACTGACACCACCTGATGACAGCCATGTCTTTCGGTTCAGTGGCACCGGAAACACCAATAAAATTATTAGAAAAAAAAATTCTTTAGTTTCGTTAATAACCACGCCACTGCCTGCTGTCGTTCAGACTCAAATTCTTTTGCAGTTCGCCGTTTCGCTAGCCAGACTATAATTAAAGTGCGTTTTTTTTTTTAAAGATAAAAGTCAAACTGACATTAGGTTGGCAATACAATGTAAAATTGTCAATGCTATCAAATTTTTCATGTAGAAAAGGCTTGTGTTGCCAACATAGTTACTAAATTTTTGACTTGGGGAATTATCTTAAAAAAAAAAACAGATTTTACCTATTACACGGTAAATCCGGAGCTGTCGTATTCGATTTCGAGACAATTCGACTCGACTCGTTAAATAGAATCCGGGGGCAGCTTTTTCAAAATGGTCGGTGCAAACGGCCATTATAGAACTATGGAACAATTCTGGGATTGTTCTAGAACGGTTCTCTCAGTGCTTGCTCTGAAGGTGGAACTGAGCGGATAAGCGGCTTGTTTTGGTTTTTTTGGTTCCGCATCGGTTCAGAATGTATCACCATAGTCCTCCATTATTTTTTGTACGCAAGCAGTTCTGCGCAATCCCAGAAATGTTGCAAATTTCGAACCAAAACAAAAGGTCCGTTCCAGTCTAAGCGTTCCAGTCAAGGGTGATACACACCTACAGGATTGCTTATTGGCCTCGTTTTTCAAAGGTTTTTGGTAATCGCCGCCATATTGGTGTGTCACCATTTTTGACGTCAGGCTGGGACTCTGTAACGAAGACAACATTTTTCTATCTCTATTGGCGTCCCCTCCCTATTGATTTCGAGAAGAGAGAAGAAGATAGCAAGTGCTATAGCGATAGGGATATCGATCTCTATCCGTTACAGAGTTCCAGCCCAGCTGTTTAAACAGCCGCTCAAGGCGAGAAATAACATAATGCTTACGTCACAGCTGGTGATTATGCTTGGGGGAGAAGAGGGGAATTTGTTACACACAGGCCTGAGGATTGGCCATCCTGTATAGTCTAGAGCCAGCGCCGAAAAAATTCTCTGAATTTACTAAAGCTAGTTTTTGGACAGTTGATTACAGTAATTACGTACATAAGCATACCGCGGTCAGTCAAGCGAAACTTGGGACAAGGACCCCAGGGTGTCTTGTTAAAGGTGTCGAGATAACTTGGGTAATGCAACGAATTTACTAAAGCTGAAAATCGTTATACATATTATATGTAACATATAAATAACAGTAGTGTTAGTCAGTCAGTTGAATAGCGGGACCGTGCTGGTCAGTCAGCCCCAATAAATGAAAAATCTGCAAAAAAATATTAATATTACTGAACAAACCTATTAATTTAAACTTCAACCTACAATTTTGAATTGTCACTGTCACGCTGTCACTCTAAAAAAAAAATAGACCCATTATTTTTTTTTACATAAATTGGGGCTGAACTATCTCAATGGGGCTGAATGACCGGCCCAGTTCCGCTATTCAACTGACTGACAAACATCACTGTTATTTATGTGTTATATATAATATGTATAGCGATTTTCAGCCTTCGTAAATTCGTTGCATTACCTAGCTATCTCGACAACTTTAACCAGACACCCTAGGTCCTTGTCCCAAGTTTCGCTTGACTGACCGAGGTATGTTTATGTACGTGAATACTGTAATTAACTGACCAAAAACTGGCTTTAGTAAATTCAGAGAATTTTTTCGGCGCTGGCTCTCCGGCTAGTAGTAATACTAGTAATAATGGTGTGTATCATCCTTGAGTTCCAGTTACGTGTAGTATATAATTCATTGCAACGAGGTGACAGGGCCGGTATCGAGTTGCGTCTCGAAGTCAAGTCGTGTGTCGATTCGTGAATTTAGAATTTAGAACACATAGAATCTCCTGTCTGAGTGTCAGTGTCAGTAATAGGAATAGGTATTGCGTAGGGGAGGGTAGTACTAAATGGCGTTTCCGATTGGTAGATTCAGTGCGCACTGAGTGTATTTGCATCCTTTTAATCGATCTGTAGAAGAAAAAGAGAGAAATAGAAAAAATTGCACTAGTTCCGCACTAAATCTACCTATCGGAAACGCCATAAAGTGAGACGAAATTTGCCTTCTTGGTTCTAAATTTTTTATTTGGAGTAAAATCTGAAAACTCTTCGGTTCAGTCAATAATACAACCATTTGCGCTTATGAGAGCCTTAACAGAAACTAAAGATAACGTCACAGAAAAAACAAAAATATACATTTCGTTGTGAATGTTTTTGTCTCGGTACCTAAATGTGTACTAAGTGAGACTAGTACAAGTAAAAACTGAGACGTAGAAAAATATTGCTAGTACGAATAATGCGATATCAAAATAACACAGATATAGTTACCTTAACATATTATATTAATTCTTTTATTGTGTTAAAAAACTAGCGAATGTTAACTGAACTGAAGTTGATTTCGAATTTGTACATCACAGATTGTCGCTTGGTAGTGCCTGGAATAGGTTCAGGAAGTAGGTATCAGAGCTATGTCATTCAAAGTAATGAAAGATATATCTGGCACAGTCGAACAGGAAGGAATTAGAAAATTTAGCACTCTTACGAAGAAATGATACAGTCTCACTTAGTACGAAATATGTTTGTCTCACTTAGTACTTTTTTGCTTCGTAAATTGAAAGCCCCTAAAAATCGCATCGTAAAATTTCACAGAGAATTGAGCCTAGGTTATGTTAAGCACCCCCTTACGGCAGACCAAGGGCGTAGATACTTTACATTTCTGGGGGGGGGGTAAAGTTAGGTATGGCCGGGGGGGGGGGGGGGGGGTTCGGAGAAAAATTTCAAGCTCATTTACTTTTCCAGAACTTGACCTTAGTACTATCATAGAATAGTACTATTATAAGTCGGTACAGGGTGATCTATTATAAATTGTCACCCCCTGCTAACTTTTTCATTTGACGTTTTTGACAGAAGTGTCAAATACAAAAGTCTTAAGAAATTGTCAAAAGTTATTAACCAAGTCAGTATTAGGCATACAGGGTGCGTCAAAAAAGTGCAACAGTGTGAAGTTATATTTTTTTAAATGGAACTCCCTGTATATTGTGCGCTTCATTTGTTAGTCGTTAGTCCCCTTTGACCTGATTCAACGATATATGGTTTGATACGTTTATCTCTCGGTTTATCTCCAATATTTATAGGAAAAAACGCGAAAATCTCTTCCTAGGTCTCTCATGTTATTTTTTTTTTAAATTAATAATAATAACTTAGACATATGGTTTTATTATTATTTGTATTTCACCTTGTATATTAATGAATAAAATTTAAACAATAAACTGTTTATTAAAAAAAAATCTAAAACTTAAATGGTATAATTTTTCTTTTTTCAATATGAAACCTTGAAAGGGGTTTCATGTTTTTCCCTATAACTATTGAAGATAGACATAATAAATCGTATATCATTGAAATCAGGTTAAAAGGGATTTACAAATAAGCGGACAATATAACTGGGTGTTCCATTTAAAAAGATATAACTTCACACTGCTGCACTTTTTTGACGCACCCTGTATATCTAAAACCGGCGTTAAAAACATTCGACAATTTCTTGAAACCAATGAACTATAACCAAAAACTGGAATGCGTACACATATTGACGAACATGAAGCCTAGTGCCGCTGCTGCGGAGGGGAAGCCTGTTTCTGTTGCACTCATTATGTTAAATGGCGGAAATTGCTTCCAACACGTATTCCAATTGATGAAACCTGTGAAGGAAAATATGACAAATCTTTCGAAAACGTCATATGTCAGCGAGCAACAGAAAGAAACAACATTCCCCCTTATGGCATCTGTCTTTCATGGCTACATTTTTTTGGCAGATATGGCAATGTGTGCGCATTCCAGTTTTTGGCTATAGTTCATTGCTTGAAACTTTTGTGTTTGACACTTTTGTCAAAAATGTCAAACGAAAAAGTTAGAAGGGGGTGACATTTATAATAGATCACCCTGTGCATACTCTTTTCTTATTTATAATGCTAGTTTTAATCAATTTTTATGACAATTGACAGATGACACATCACTAAAAGTCTACCAACCTCATAATGGCTGAGTTCGTTCGGCTTTGCAGTCTACGCAGCGGAACGGTATGAGCATGGATATCGTGACGTCATAGGCAGAGTGAGCTCTGAACAAGTGTACGTAAGCCGAACGCAGATCGAAGAAAAAAAACAACAGAATGGTTAAATGGCCAAATTTATGTTCTTCTTGGAATGTACTAGGTAAACTTAAACTGATTCAGTGTTAGTGTAAAACTGGGGCGCAGCACGGCTTTTACTACCCAATATTTTTCATCTAATGAAATATTAGTTGTTTTTTTTCAAATTTATCTAAAAAAATAGAGATCTGGGGGGGGGTAATTACCCCCTCTACCCCCCATATCTACGCCCTTGCGGCAGACAGAATTTGGAGGTAAATTTAAAAAAAATATTTCAATTGTCTCACTTAGTGCACCGTCTCACCTAGTACCACCCTCCCCTAAAAAGTTCTCAGGGCTGGAACTCTGTAACGGATAGAGATCGACATCCCTATCACTATGGCATTTGTTATCTTCTGTCTTGTCGAAATCAATAGAGAGGAGACGTCAATAGAGATAGAGAAAATATCTCTATTCGTTACAGAGTCCCAGCCGAGGCAACCTACCTCTCTCAAACAACCTTGGTATTGCATAGGGCTGCATTTTTCATCCGAAAATCTTTTAAATGCGAAATAGTTTTGAAGCGCAGAATTTCGATTTTGGGTCTAGACGGATCTCCTGTTGGTTGTTTCCAAGAATCGTACACTAACAGGATTGCTCATCCTCAAGGTCTACGTTTGCCAATTCTCGAGCCGGCAGGGCCCGCGATTGATTTCACCACTATCAGCAGCCTAAAGTGGTGACGTCACCCGCAGGCCTTGATGGGATGTTTGCAATTCAAGTGGTGCTTGTTTTGTCGTCGGAACTCGTTTAGGAATTCGTTTTTTTGACCTATAATGCCTTAAACAAGGCTAATGACTTTTACGTCAAGAAAAAGTCTACTCGATTTTTAACGTTTTTGGATAAAAATGATAAAAATGGCCATTTGCACCGACAACTTTAAGGAGAGCTTAACGATAAGTATTCCTTAAAGTGACATTTTCACATGTAGAAATGTCATTTTAAGTTATACTCATCGTTAAGGCTCCCTTAAAATTGTCGGTGCAAACGGCCAAAAAAATATTTAGTTCGGCTCTGTTTAAGTAGTCATGTGAAGCGTTTTCTTTTCAGTAGCTTCCCATATGCAGCAAACACAGTAGGTACTAAATTAGTGACGTATTATTGGTGACGCGAAGGCGATAAGTAAGTTTTTCGGTAATTCAGTACACTGAATTTTAATTTAGGAACGCTTTTCAGCGAATACAGTACTGAGTCGTTAAAAAAAGAACACAGCCTCAGTTAATCAAAATTAAATATTATGCCTACGACCGCTGGCGCAGACAGCTAACGACACCGTTGATGACGTCCGCAACGGTGCAACACCATATAGGGCAATCCAACGACATGTCAAAAAGAAATTCAGAATGGAGGCCAATGCCATATATACACAATACGTTTTATTGCGATTTTTGAATTGTGTAAAGTCTGTAAAGTGTTGATTTTTTGAAAAATGCATACATTAAGTATTGGTCTTAGTTGTGGGAGCCGTTCTAATCGCGATAAAGTTTCGTTTCATGCCGTTTCTGCAGAGAAAAAACACAGGGTTTTAACGGAGAAAAACGATTTGTCTGTACTTTGTAGGGCTTCATGGATTGCAGCAAAAAACTCAAAAAAGAGAAAATCTGACGAAATTTATATTAAAAAAACAAAAAGTCCCTCCACATAAATGGTGTATGGATCCAAGCCATTTACTATCCTCCACCTCAACTTGTGTCGATACCTCGAATAGCGCACAAATAAAATAAACAGTAGGATTCATGATTTGGTTGAAAAAAAACTAAACAGGAAACAAATCCTGGATAGTACCTACCTAATTGTTTAGTAGGTAAAGGTTTGTCACATAGAAATCATAACTTATTTTGCAAACTTCTGGGTTTTCCATTAAGGGTATTGAATGCGCCATTTAAAATATACCTATTGTAACGCACGTCGAACTATACGATTACCCAACAAGTTAATACTAATAAAGATGCGAGGTTCATCGCAATTATTGCATTGGGCTACTGTTGGGCCGGTTGGCGCTGAATCCTTCATGATAGCGATTTAAAATTTATCGCAAAACAGGCGGAGGAAAGAGCTATAAGGTTTGCTGCGGGTATAACAGAGACAGGCAAAATGACAAGAATTAATTAAATTTCTACAAAAAAAAACTAGATAATTTTTGGGATTCTGGTTTGTGCTATTGTATTGCTAACACACATAAGATTGGCGCTAATTAAAAAAGACACCATAAATTGATTAATTTTCTCATTTTTTTCCAGTTTGAATTACATTTTTGTAATTTTTGGAGAACTCGTTTCTATTACCGGATTTCTAAAAAGATAGCGCCATTCTTCCCTATATTATAAATCGAATGCAAAAAAGAAATTTGATATAACTTCAACTGCTAAAAAGTTACGTTGAAACTAAGAACGCAATGCATTTCTTGTTTCATTCATCTCATTCCCACTAAGGAGTATTAATAGGAGAGGAAAATACAATGATAGACTGCGTTAGATGCTTCGCGCAGGAAAAAATATTTTGGCATCGAGGCGTATTCAATCCCCTCAATAACTTCTTAAAATAAAAACTCTCCATCTTAAAATACGAAAATTATCTTTCCAAGCTCTAGAAAAATCATCTTAAAACACCACAAAATACACAAAAAACAGTTTCTTGATGAAAAATGTCACAGTTGTTTGTATAAAATTCATGGCGCCAATTTCATTGCTTGCCGCTTGGTATTGGCCGCCATTTTGATTGGCTGCCCTATCTGTGGCCCTATTATGACCTCAATTTCAAAAATTGAGGCCGATGAGCGATCCTGTAGTAGTCTGTAATATCTTTGAAAATTGCCGAACTATGGCCAATTTTTGATTGGTTTTTTGAAATCCGATATATTCATATTGAAAATGCGGAAGAATTTGGCGGCGGAGACAAGGATATTATGCACTACTACAGATTGCTCATCGGCCTCGATTTTCAGAATCAAGGTCATATGGTGTTGCACCGTTGGTGACGTCATCAACGGTGAAGTTAGCTGTTTGCGCCAGCGGTCGTAGTGTAGAATATACCTCTATGATGAAAAATATTGTTATAAATTTTAAAGAACCAATCAAAAATAGCAAGGCAATTGTCGCTACTGTGGTTTAATTGAATAGTCACTATAGATCAGAGTGTTGAGGGTCCGATAATAATCTCAAATGACGTCACAAGTAGGAGAAAATACATAAAAACTTTTCATTTATTCACCATAAACATTTATACAGAAACATTTCGGAAATACTTAATTCACTTAAATATTAAGTAATTTTTTTTTTTCATATATATAATGACAGGGATACAAAATCGTCTACTTATTAAATAAATATTATTTATACAAATGTGAGTGAGGTATCAGAATGAATCTCAAATGAATGATTAAAATAGCAATTTAGATACTACTAAGTTCCTATTGCAATTATTTACATTTAACATTTTATGCACAAGCAAGAAAAGTGTTTGAATATGATTACTCAAGCCTGCAAACACTTTGCTTTTGGATACAAAAAAAAATATTTAACAGTTAACAATAATTAGGGTATTTAATTTTTTTAATATTAATTTAACAGCACTTTACACTTACTTTACAATACATTTGAGTGCTTATTTTATGAACAAATGAATGAGGTATCATTACACGGGATCACTTATTATTTATTACAAAAAATTGCTGAAAATAAATTAAATATATGAAATAATAATTAATCTATAAACTGTTTGGGCAAGTGAAATTCACTAGTCCAACAGTTAACTAAAACTAAAAAAGTATTTTTTTAAAAATAAAATTTCTTTACTCAATTAATGCGGCAGTGTATAAGAAGTAATAATTAATAGCCAAATTTTCTAAGATCAGCACATCAACAAACAAACTTGTTTTGGATGACTTTAATGAATAGATTACTTTATGAAAAGACTATTGAATTTTCACAGATTATTTCATTATCGATACTGTTCAAGGCATATGTTTCGACAAATATTCTTTCAAAAGTGTTCATTGAAGAAAGATAAAAAACACACAGCTGGTAATTGGGTTAATAGGATCAGCGTTTCCAAAAACGCCCATTGTCTTCTTCAGCTTTGTTAATCCAGTCTGAAAATTTTATAGTCTTCACAAAGCATAATAAATTTCCATCAAGTAACGGCTAGCTCGGTGGAATATAAATAAGATTTTTGCTGCCTCGAATTAATTATGAAAAAAAGTCCGCTGGGATACCTAAAATCGAACATCACGTTCCGCGATCTGTACTAGTGGACGGTATATCGATTATGCGACTTTCGTTGCCGAATATTAGTCGCACTCTTTTCATTGGCAGTTGGGGTATAGGTGCTTCTTCTTCTACTTGCTATAATTCATAAATAAATAGTAAGATTTATGAAAAAAATTCTTGGAACATGAAAATATTTAAAGTCAGTTAAGATGATGGAATTTTTGCTTAATAACAATAAAATCCAGACTAATTCAGGGAAAATCAAGATAACTTAATACCTAATATAAATAATAGATCTAAACATGTAGAAATTATGTTTTCTTTCCTTTTCATCTATTAATTCATTAATTGAGACAAACTTTGTAATGTGAATTGCATGTATCAAACGTCATATTTTTCACTGTTGATTATTGAATTGGCCCAGGGTATTGAAGATATATCCCACTCAAGTCTTATTTTATTTTTTATCCGCTCTGAAGATTTTTTTTACAAAAAAACAACTCTCTCAGTACATTCCCATACTAAAAGAGCTAGAGACTTCCAATTTTTAATTTATTTTCCTGATAAATGGCATTCGTCTCCTATAAAATCTCAGTGTAGCACACATGGTGCGTTTTTACAAATTACTTTGATAAAGATTGAAAGTTTTATTTGTAGATTTTTTTGCCATAAAAGAAAAGTCGCAGAATTAATGTCACATTTGTTTCTGAATAATTTCAACCTCATGTTTCCATTGGGAAAGTAGGTAACAATTTGATAGAATTAAAAATGAAAAGAAAAATAGTTATGGACTAAAAGGAATTTGGGTGCCCTAATACCTATTTGGTACATTTTTCGATTTCAAATCAATGATCGGAATGTGACTATTCCTAGAAGTCTCTCTACCTTCTCGTTTAGAAATGTGGTCAAAATCCTGTAAGCCCTAATATTCAGTAATCCTTACCTTCATTCGTCTATCCCGTTTCCTGTCTTTGGATTTATGCCTCTTTTTTCTATGGGAATAGGGAGTATAAGAAATGTCTTCGCTTTCCACACCTTCGACTCTTAAAACTTCATATTCCGGCTCGAAATACTCGTCGCTCAAACTGTTGGCCGATTCTATTACCTCATCTAGAACCGGACTTCTTTTCATACGCAGCGTCAACTTTAGCCTACCGCCGCATTTTTCTGGAGTCTTTTCAGGCTGAACACAATTTGATGATTCTGTACAGTCGTCAAACTGAAAAAGAATAAAGAGTTTTTACATCGAGTGATCGTTTTTTAAAGTTTTTTCTGCTATGTTAGCTTTTACAGTTGCTAGAATTGTTATTTCAGTTTTTGGAGCATCGAATGTTCGGACAAAATGGACAAGAGATTATCAAGACAAAAAAAATAGAAGGAATCAAGTTGGTTGATGGGAGGATCAAAAGCCTATAATTTTGGCAAAATTTTCAAATTAGCACAGGCGATAATTTAGACGTGAATTGTCAGTATTCTGTGAAAACCCAATTTGAGAATTTAGAGCTATACCGGGTGTCTACGAGATCAGTTTTGCGCTGGCATTTACTGTTTCTTTATTTTTTCAATAGCGTTGATTTTTGGAATAGGGTGTACGTTTGAGAAATGTCATCTTTTGACATATGTGTCAATGTTTGGTAACTTCCGGTTTAACCGAAAATGGCCCTATCTTCGTAATTTTGAATGGCATCCCAAGAATTTTTTCGCATTTTTGGGATCTGCGGATCATGATGTATATGAAAACGTCAAATTTTAACATTTTTGAAAAAAATTTGGAATTCTGGATCAAAATTTAATTTTGAATAGAAACTGACAGAATGGTCTTACAATTGTTTTCTCACTCACTCAGACGATCATAGAAAAATGTGAATGCCATGTTGTTATCCTTTCCTTGTTCTCCAAAGGCTTCCAAAGTTGAAAAAATCACATTTTAGCTGATAATTCAATGAAATCAGTGAATACATCCAACTTTCACAACAAGAGTTTTTTACCTTTTTCAAAATAAAACCAACTATGTATTAAAACTTTTCATTTATGCCAGTTTTTAATTATTTTTTCATTATTTTCAATATGCACTACTATAATAGTTATTTACATTACAAGTGCGTTTATGAGCATGATTACAATAACGAGTGTGAAGGATTAGAACGACGAGGTAGTAGACCGAGTCGTTCTAATCACATGAGTTTTGTAGACGTGTTTAAACGCACGTGTGATGTACAACGTTTTATCTACAAAGCAAAAAATAAGAATATTTTTCCAATTATTTTCGTTCATTAATAGTTGTCTACCTTCATTTTACCTTTACAGGTTTACCTTTGACATTTGACAAATCACGTGGTATAGACTCATAACCTCGACAATAACACCACTAGTTGTGTTATGAATTCATAACCTAGTCTATAACACCACTAGTTGTGTTATGAGTCTCATGACGTAACTTAAATACTAGAAAAATGGTTATGTAAAAACGTTCTAACCAAACGCTTGTAGATAAATAATAAAACTACTTATAAATGAACCCCTGTATTCAAATAATAAGAAAATAAATAAAAACTGGCATAAATGAAAAGTTTTATTGCATAGTTGGTTTTATTTAAGAAAAGGTAAAAAACTCTTGTTGTGAAAGTTGGGTGATTTCAATGCTATTGAAAAAAAAAACAGCATATGCACAAGCACTATACAAACACCTAACAAAGTTATTCCAGAAATGCATTAATACTGGTGAGATTCCAGAAGAATGGAAAGAGTCCTATCTTACTCCAATACATAAAAAGGGTAGTAAAGATGAATGTGGCAATTACAGGGGCATTGCAGTTACTGAGTCGATAAGTAGATCATACGGTATAGTACTTAAAGCCAGAATAGAACAAGAATCGCCGTCAACGAAGCCGAAGAACAGGCTGGATTCCGGACAGGAAGATCAACAGTTGATCACCTTTTCTGTGTAACACAAATTCTAGAGAAAATGTCAGCCGTTAATAAAGAAGTCCACCTATTATTCGTAGACCTGAAAAAAGTTCCATTGGTTAAACTATGGGAACCCTGGAGACAACAAACATCAATCTAACGATAATAATTAAAGCCATTAGAAAAAACTACAAAAACTCTAATGTAAAAATAGACGTTGGAAACACACTCTCCAATGGATTCTTCACAAACAAAGGCTTAAAGCAAGGTTGTTGTTTGTCTCCTACACTTTTCAAAATATTTTTAAAAAAAGCGCTGCTACAATAAAAACGTAAATGTAGCAATATGGGTATCCCGCGTAACGACAACACCATCTATAAATACCCTAAGCTTTGCAGACGATCAAGTGGTAATGGCGCAAGACATTGACGATCTTGAATATATGGCAATCAGAAAGCTAGTTGAAGAATATAGCAAATGGATGGGGACTAGAGGTCAACATATCTAAAGTAGAGTAAAGTAAAGTAATGGTTTATTAACGGATTAACCATTTTAAAAATGGACAAAAGGTATAGTACACAATGAATAAAAATATAAATATCTATCTAAAGAACTCTATGCTGAATCTGTGAACTGAATCTGCTTGAATTTAAGTTGAAAAAATCTATTTCATTTGCAATATCATTAGCAATTCTAGATAGTCTATCTGTAAGAATATTTTGGCCATAATTTGTTCTATGATATTCAACAAAAAATAGTTCATGGTGTCTTAGGTTGACCTGAGGAACAGTACTTAAACAATATTTTTTGTAATAAAGTTGGCGAATCTATCAATCCATTTAAGATTTTGTATAAAAAAATTAGGTCTAGAAAGTCTCTTCTATTTCGCAATTTTGGTAAATGTAATAGTTTACTAATGTCATGGTAATCTATTGACTTCACAGGAATGCTAAGTTTGTAGCCTATAAATCTGAAACATTTTATTTGGACTTTCTCTAGACTATTAATATGAACATCATAGCACATAGAACATCATCTAAAACAGAATACATGTGCGTCGGCGGACCCCAACAAAATCTGCCACTGGATAATGGTCAAACTACTGAAGGTTGCGAAAAATACAAATATTTGGGAGTGAAGATGTAGTAGTGGAACGCTAGATGAAACTATTAAAGATAGAAATGCTCAAGAAAGAAAAGCAATATCTATGCTAAACAGTATTCTATGTGACAACCATCTCTAAAACCAATAAACACCAAATATACAACACAGCTGTAAAAAGCATTGTCTCCTATGAAAGCATAGTATGGCAGCTGAAGGATAGAACCGTACGTACACTCGAAGCGACAGACATGGATTTCTGGAGGCGTGCTGTCGGAAAATCTAGAGCGGAAAGAATAACTAACAACAGAATTAGAGAAATCATGGGTATAAATAGGACAATCGTTGACGACATAAGAACACAACAGCTAAAATGGTATGGCCACATACAAAGAATGTCTGATGAGACTGCCAAAACAGATTCTTGATTGGACGCCAGCAGGAAGACAAAAAAGGGGAAGACTACGGAAAAGCTGGAGAGAGGGGATAGACAAGGAGATAAGAGACCGGGGACTGGAAGAGGATCTCTGGCTGAATAGAGATCAGTGGCGACTGGACATCGGAAGACGCCGAAGAACGTTTTGAAGCCGATTTGTGTATATATACAGTCGTGAGCACAAAAAGTGGGAGACCCGACTGACAGGTCTTGTCATTTTTCGCTATTTTGGGTAAATCAGTCTTTTCTCTACAATGGATTTTTTGTCAAATATGACAATCCCTGTCATTGCCGTACGTATAGCTGGTGCGCCCGTTTTACAATAGGAAAAAACGGGTGTCCCACTTTTTGTGCTTACGACTGTACATAGATGCCAGCGCAAAACTTATCTCGTAAACACCCGGTATACCTATGATAGGTACACAAAAATTTTTACAAAGAATGACTATATGCCATTGTTGCCACATTATCAGAAAACGCAAACATGGGAATTCATGATAGATTGATTCTTGATGTTTTTATTTCCCAGCATAATTATAGAATCAAATCAAATATAATATAATACCATATTTTCTCAAGTAACAGAGCTGTGACTTATTTCTAGAAGCTTACAAATAACAAGTCTAAAATATAACTCAAATTGCACCTAGGGTGTATTTTTTCTCAAGATGGATTTTGAAATCGAAAACTTTGAAACATAAAAAATATCGCTTGGCCCTGATTAGTCGCAAAATGAGGTGTCCTTACATGTTGGAATCAGTTTTACAATGTATGTCGTAGAAATGGCATCGTGCGACCAATAAGCGGCATTGTTTATGTTTCAAAGTGCCAATGTCACTATCTATCTTGGGAAAAAATAGAGTACAGGTAGACAGGACCACCTGTATGTGCAATGTGTGTGCTACACGACGCCACATTATCCCTCTATAACACTACAATTAATAATTAATAAATATATACACAGTGTCCCGGATAAAGATGCACTCTACAGGCAGTGGCGTAGCTAGGCGTCGGCGATGTCGGCGACCGCCGACGGCCTCGCGCACTAAGGGGCCTCGCAAAAAATAGGTTATCGAACCTGAAAATTGGCAGTTTTCAATTTCAAAATGGAACGTAGAATAAACTTAATCCGATATACGAAACTTCTTTTAATATCATAGAATTCGTAAAGTATTTCGCTGTATTGTAGGTACATTCTACAGCATTTTGAAATTCCGTCGAGCATTTGATTTTGTACAACAAACCTGCTAACATACAGAGATTCGGAAATTATTTAGTTTTCCTTAAAAATTGCCTGATTTCTACCACAAATTGTCGGTCCATGTTTGTGCACACATATTACGGAATTTTGGTGTCCGGTCAAATTTGATGAAATTTTGGTATGTTGTATTTCTTGAGGTCTTGATCAAAAGTGTCCATTGGCCCAAATGAATCCTATGACTAGTTTTTGAGATACAGAGGGTATTCAAAAAGTTGAATATCCAATTACAATTATGTGCCAAGTTATGTGCTAACAGAGGGTTTGGACGCAAATGATTAAGATGGAACATTCTTGAAGACATAAACTACACACCTAAACGATTTGGTATACAGGAAGTACCAAACGTCTTTCTTTTTTTTTGGCCCAATTATTGTCGGAATATGTACTACAAAAAACGATTTTATGTAGGGTAACAGGTAGGTACTTTCAAAATATTCTATCTTTTATTTATAGAAAATTGTTATTCTTTGAAAAATCATTGCAGTTTCCAATTTGAATTTGCCAAATACAGAGT